CATCTGTGCGACGGTCCTTTTCCTCCTCCTTTTTCTCCTCTTCCTCTTGCTCCTCCTCCTTCTTCTCTTCCTCCTCCTCCTCCTGACGGTGACGCTACAGACATGTGGATCCACACGGGATGTTGTCATCCCCTCCTCCTCTTTTTCCTCCTCCTGTTCCTCCTCCTCCTCCTCCTCCTCCCCCTCCCCCCCTTCCCCTCCTCCTCCTCGTCCTCCTCCTCCTTTTCCTCCTCCCTCCTCCCATCCCTCCTCATCCTCCTCCTTCTGTACTTCCGCTCATCGCCCCCCTCTTCCTCCACGCCGCCGATAAGCGCCCACACAGGAACGTGCGGTTTCGCTATCGGGGGCCTAACGCCGATCTACCTGCGCTGCATCGCCGATCCAAGCTCTATGTTTCCCCCCTTCTGAGCTGATGCCCCCCTCTTGTTGGCCCTCTGTCGTCATCGTCGAGGAGACGGAAAGAGGAGCGAGTGGGCGAGGAAGCCGTTCGAGGCGGAGGGGGCCGAGTGGGGAGGATGAACAGGGGGTGGTGGAGGAGGAGGAGGAGCAGGAGGAGGAGCAGGAAGAGGTGAGGGGAGGCGGGGAGGGAGACCGCGAACTTGTCGTGGGGCTCAGCGGAGGGTGAGGACGAGGACGAGGTCGACGACGACGATTGCGACTGCGATTACGGTTGCGATCGTGATAACGATTACGATGACGATTTCGACGACCGCCACCGCCACCACCACCACCGCCACCGAGGACGGCGACGGCAGCGACGAGGACCACCGAGGCCCAGCGACGGCGGCTGCCACGGCCGGCTGGCGGCACAGGAGCGGGCCCCGCTGGACCCGAGCCACCCGCTCGCCGGGGTCCCCAACTTCGAGGCGCCCGCGCGAGCGGCGCAGCAGCCTCGCCCGGGGCAGCCTCGCGCGTCGGGGCGGCCGCCGTTGGCGTCGGCCTCGGCCCCGGCCTCGGCCTCGGCGTAGGCGATGGCGTCGGCGTCGTCGTCGTCGGTTTCGTCGTCGTCGTCGTCGTTGACGGCGTCCTCGTCGGCGCCCCCGCTGGCGGCGGCGTTGTTTTCTAGGTGGATGGGACAAACTGGTTTGAAATTACTGCAGACACGAAGCGGTGGAAGGATTGAAAACGGGAGTTCTGCTCTACAACGTGATGAAGGCTAACGTGTAGTTGCACTCATCAGGAATTGCGGTGCCATCCACACAATCGGGGCTCACGTAAACGGGGTCAGCGCTGACGGGGGTCAGCGGTGTCCTCCCAGCGTGTCTTCCCTGGGTGTCCTCCCAGGATTTGATTATTGAGTGTCCTCCAAGTGTGTACTCCCTGGGCGTCCTCCCAGGGCGTCCTCCCTGTGTGTACTACAAGGGTGTCCTCCCTGGGCCTTCCCAAGCTCTCCTCCCTGGGTGTCCTCCCAGGGTGTTCTCCCAGGGTGTGATTTCTGAGTGTCCTCGGAGGGTGTGATTCCGGGGCGTCCTCCCAGGGTGTCATCCTTGGATGTACTCCCAGGGTGTCCTCCCTGGTTGTCCTCCCTGGGTGTCCTCACAGGGTGTCAACCTGGGTGTCCTCCCGGGGTGTATTCCCCGGGTGCCCTCCCAGGGTGTCGACCTGGGTGTCTTCCTACGATGTCTTTCCTGGATGTACTCCCAAGGTGTCCTCCCTGGGTGTCCTCGCAGGGTGTCATTATCAGCGCCTCTTGGGCCGCACTGGGGGCCTCTTGGGCCGTGGGCCATCTGGGGCCGTCTTGGAGCTTTTGGGGGTCATCTTGACGTCATGTTTGGCCGACTTTGAGGCCTCTTGACCCATCTTTGACGCATCATGCGCAATCTTGGAGGCCAGCATGAGCCGTGTGAGGGGCCCACGGGGGTCGGGGTCGTCTTGGAGACGGAATGTCCGCGCATGACGGTATGTTGATGGGTTCCGTTCGATGATGGTTGGCCTTCGGGATGCGCCGACGGCCGCTAGGAACATTTCGGAAGTACCAAGAATGGTTCAACCGCGGCACGACGAGCACCCTTTTGGCAGTATTGACGGCCCGATCGAAGACGCCTAGGGCGAATCACCGCCGCCCCCTGCCTTTTTGCAAGCGCCTATGTGGCCGAACGTTGAGGCCAGATCTGCCAAGCTATCGGACCATGTGTTCCCCGAATCGGTTTGGAAAACCTTCGGAGAACACGTGGGCATCTTGAAGGTCCTCGTGGCCGTCTGGAGGCCTTCTTGGAGGAGGTCTTGGAGGGCTCTTGGGCCGTTTTCGAGGCCATCTTGAGAGTCTTGGAGGCCTCTTGGGCCGTCTTGGGGCCCTCGTGGGGCCGTCGTGGACCTCTTGGGCGGTCTTTGGGGGCTCTTGGGCCGTCTCGGGCCGTCGGAAGGTCGAAAAAAAACACATGCCACAATCATTCTGAAACTCATGGGAAATTGGGCTGTCGTGGGCCATCTTAGGGCCATCTTCGGCCGTCTTGGTGGGGTCCTGGCCCGTCTGACGCCGTCGGAAGCCGTTTGGGGGGCCTCTCTGGGCCGACTTGGGGCCCTCTTGGGGTGCTCAGGGCCGTCTTGGAGGCTATCTTGGTAAGTGCGCCAGTGGATCCCCCTGAATACACCAAAGGGGGGGGGGTCCAGAACCCTTCACCCCCTGCCCCCCTTCAGGGGGGGTGGGGTCCGGACCCGAAATGGAGCGAATTACAACCAATTAGTCCCAATTCCAACCGTTCGGAGCGAATTGCAACCAGAAATGAGACCAATTCCAACCAGAAATGAGACCAATTACAACCATGGATGGGATATTCGGAATTCCTCAGGATTCCTTCGGATTCTTCGGAAACGGTACTGGGCGCAGGGGAAAACTGGATATTCAGCGCGTTTGCATGCATCCCGTATCCCACGGCAGGCTTGCCCTCATCTGTTCTGTGGATGCCTTGCAGCTGCCTGCGGGGACAACCGCTCGCCGCCGTGGCGAAACAAACCCGCTCTCGGATTGCATTTGTGCGTGCCGCCACCGCCAGCTTTATTCAGAGATGCCTCTCGGCACGCTCCGCCCCCTCGCGGCTGGTTGACAATTGGTTGGTGGCCTGGTTGGCTGGCTGGCTGGTCTTTTGGCTGGTTGGCTGCTTGGTTGGCTCGCTGGCTGGTTGGCTGGTTGGTTGCCTGCCGTGCTGGTTGGTTGCTTTGTTGGTTGGCCTACAGGCCTGCGCCATCTCGCATGCCAAGGGGCCCGCCCGCTCGCGGATTGCATTTATCCGTATCATTACTACCACTACAACTGCGACCACGACCACGACCACGACTACCACTGCAACTACAGTTACTACTACTACTATTACTACTACTACTACTACTACTACTACTACTACTACTACTACTACTACGACTACTACTACGACTACTACTGCTACTACTACTACTACTACTACTACTACTACTACTACTACTACTACTACTACTATTATTATTACTACTACTACTCTTACTACTACTACTACTACTACTACTACTACTACTACTACTACTACGACTACGACTACTACCACTACTACTACTACTACTACTACTACTACTACTACTGACTACTACGACTACTACGGCGACTACTACTACTACTACTACTACTACTACTACTTCTACTACTACTACTACTACTACTACTACTACTACTACTACTACTACTACCACGACTACTACTACTACTACTACTACCACCACCACACCACCCCACGACCAACCACGACGACGACGACGACGACTACACTACTCTACTACTACTACTACTACTACTACTACTACTACTACTACACTACTACTACTACTACTACTACTGCTACTACTACTCTACTACTACTACTGCCTCTATTTTTTCCATAGCAATGCTGGGTAACCGAGGCTGCGCAGTGTGCCCCTGGCTCAGCTACAACATCCCCCTAGACGATGTTAAACGAAACAGCCGAAGAGGAACCCTCTCTCTCTTTCCAAAGGCGGGTGCGTGGGTAAACTTGAAACCCGAATGGCAATGGACATTGTGGTCATTGTCGCGAGCAAAAGCTGGACACTGCTCTCTTTTTTAACCATACAATTGCTGGGTACCGAGGCTGCGGCAGTGTGCACCTGAGCTCAGCTACCTCCCCGAAACCAGAGAAAGCAAATAACCCGTAACCAGCACTGTACTGGCTAGGCCATAAAACTTAAAGAGGGGGGGGGAGAGGGGGGGGGGGGAAACGCGACCAGTTCGTACGTCGTCGGTCGTTCCCCCCCCCGCTCGGCTAAACTACACGCTTGGGCCTGAGGACCTGCCACAACTCACGAGCCTGGAGCCTGACCCCCTGAGACAGCAAGGCGTCAGCCAGGGCATTGCACAAGGGGGTCGGGTAGACCTGCTTAAGCTTGGTCATCCAGGAACGGTCAGGCGCAAGCCCAGATAACACAACGTGAGGTTTACCAGAGAAACTACACATGTTGCCGCGCCTCTGACATATGCATTGCTCTAGACGTGACGTGGGGCACGACAGTTCCACTGGAGGATGCGCGCGCGGCCCCTGAACGGACGTTTGAAAGCACAGAAATCGATCACGTAGTCGCCAGAGGTGCTGGAGACGAGCTTAACGTGATGAGACTGCTGCCACAAAAACTGTCCCTGGGATTCTCCTCGCCCGCGGGGATGCCCTTGTGAATGGCACTGCGAAGGAGGAGGGCCGCTGCCCTGCCGAGGGCGCTAGAGCGATCCAGGGACTTCTGATCTGCCTCTGACAAATTAGGAATGCCATGCACATGCTGAGGAGAACGCAAAGCGCGGGGCAAGCGAGACCAGAGAGGGGCCCTCCGAGCACGCGAAAAACCCTCACACGGTGTGGCACAGAAGAAGGCCATCACCTGGCCACTGTTGATCCAGCCGATGAGAAGGGCGAGCACGTCACCCTGAAGCAGGTCGAACTCTTCGCCTTGGCTCAGGTCGATGGTGACAGCAGCGTGACCTCGCCTTCTCACCGCTTTGGCCAGACCGACCTGGCCGCCGAAGATGTCTAATACAACTGGGAAGCCTGGGATGCGGCAGCGGGCCAGTGCTTCCAAAAGAGCGCCGTGAAGGCGTTGGCAGCGCCACGATAGCTTGCTGTCACGGCGTGGCGCGCAGCAGCTGGGAGTGCGTGTAGCTGGCGAGCCAGACGGGAGTGCTTCTCGCACCTCAGGACCGAGTTGGAGGACCGCCAGAGCCCTCTTGCTGTGACATCGTGGGCAGACCTGCTGTTGGACGCCCGATCGTGAGAGGCTCCCCCATGACGCAGGCTGTACAGAGTAGGGCGCAGGCTGCCCACGTTGACGGCGATGGCGGCTGCCTGGAAGCGAGACCGAGCCTCCATGTGAGAGATCGGGAACATCAAGCCGCTGTCCCGGACCCGGTGCTTGACTGCCAAGAGGAGGGGCACCAAGAACTGCTGACGAGGCAGGTCCAGGACAATGCTGACGTCGAAGAGGCCTGTCTTGGTGGGGGTCTCCTGCTCGGACGGACGGACCAGGAACGAGAGGTGATGAGCTGATCCTGATCCGCCTGGCAGCCCTGGCAGCACCTGATACCCGAGCAGCGCAAGCCCCTCGCTGGGGCGCCAGTAGGTCTCGAAGGACACCCAGACGAAGAGAGCCATAAGAAGGTCGCCCTCTGCGGCGAGCCGCGCGGCAATGGCCGTCACGCACTCGATGGGCAAGGGCGGCCGGGAGGCTGGAGGCTGTAGGACCCGCCAGCCCGCCAGGGCAGCGGACGCGCAAGGCAGCACCCTGGCTGTGGGGCGGCCGACGTGCGGGTTGGCTCACAGCACCGCGGACACCGTCTTGACGGCCATGCTGAGGGTCATGCTGCGGTCCAACTGGTCCTCTAAGAAGTCGACCAGGATGGCGCCCCACTGCTCGCCGTTCAGCTTTGGAAAAGGGGCCACGTTGAGCCACATGGCCAGCGCCACCAGCAACTGAGAATAGGCCAGCCGTGTCTTGGTCTGCACGCGCTTGGCCTGCAGCGGGGTCAGCCAGGGAGCCAGCTCCCTGATCTCGGCCGAGACCCGGGGGGGCCTGCATGGCCCACGCTTCCGCTTGGCCGAAGGTGCGTGCGTGGGGCGCCTGATCACAGGCGCCGTCGGGGTCGTGCTCGAGGAGAGCCCCGATGTCGCCGCCAAGACCCGGCGGCTGAGCACACGGTGCGAGGCGTAGCCCATGTCTGCCTTCTCCTTTCATGCTGGCCAGAATGCCCTTCCTGATGTTGAGCCAAAAGACTGCGTGCACGTGATGGTTGAAAATGACGTGAGGGATGATCAGCAGGGTTCCATTCTGAAGGTAACCAACGGCGATGCATCGTCATGTTTCCAGCAAGGCAGTAGGCAGCATTGGCGCGGCAGCAGATGTTCATGTCATAGTTCGTGGTTCTCCCCTTGGCGAAGCTCAGGATGGACCCCAGGTTATCCCCCATGACGAGATGATGGTGACCCTGGGACCCTCCACGACGTGAGAGAGACTTAACGACAAAGGTCGAGGTGTTGCTCTCGAGAAGGGAGATGTGACCATGCCTTTTCCATCTTTTTGCTGCGACCACCTTCCACCGAGTGCTGACCAGCAGGGCGTGTGGGATATCCTCGAAGCCCTCGCTGGAGGCCTCGAGCGAGCCTAGGGCCCGCTCACGATGCTTACCCCGCACAGCCCAGGGCCCCTTGAGTCTCGAGCGCTCACTCCAAGCTCCGAGCTCGCGCACGACGTCTAGGGCCCAAGAGGCCGACGTCACACCAAAGCCCCACGGCGACGCATCGTAGCAGTGGACCTCGGTGCGCCAGGGGAGCTGGATGTCCACCTCCACCAGCGGCAGGAGCGCCAGCACCCAACGGAGCTCGCGAACCACTGAGGCCCACAGGGGCTGACGACGAAGGTAGCTGCCCTTGATGAAGGAGTACGTGGCGTTGAAGATGCTGAGCAGCTCGCGCTTCAGCGTGAAAATGTGAATGAGGTGTCCGAGGATGTGCTCAAGGTCCCTGCCACAGACCAGAGGGCTGGTGTTGAGCAGATGCCGAAGCCCCAGCACAGCTCGCCAACACTTCTTCGGGGTGGGCCTCCACCGCGAATGGTGCACCAACTCAAATCCGATGAACGTTGGTGTGTCGGACGCCGGGCCCAGAGAGGAGACCACCCCGACATGCGCCAGTGCAGCCTTCATGCTGTCCACCTGCTCCTGGGCCAGACCAGCATCGGTAGCGAAACAGGCGAAATTGTCGATGTAGAGAGCGTTGCCACCCTTGTGGATGCCAAAGTTTGCCGACTTCATCTTGTCGACGACCCAGGGCAACTGCACAGGGAGGTTGCCGAAGTGGTGGAGGTGAACGCGCTGGATCAGGCATGTGGCCCAGCTCCACCCCATGGGAACGACTCGCACGCGACGCTGCACGAGATGGTGCCCTGACACGTTCAGACGCTGCTGCCAAGCTTTGTCCAGAAAGCGGGCCTCGACGGGCATGAGTCCGAACAAGTGGCGGAAGGCCTCGGGGAGGGCAC